GGTAGCGCGTGATGGCATCTTTGGAGCATCGTTGGGCTTGCTCAGTATTGGATTTGGCTTGTTCGAGGTAAGTAACACTTCTAAACTTGGTGCTGAGGGTATGTCCCTGAATATACGTGTTATGTGTTTGGTGTTGAGGTGACTCACATCCTAGGTGACGGGCGTGTGGGCGTGTGGGCGTGCACCGTATGAATTGCGACTCAGCTATTTTCATGGTACTGTATAGTTACCTGATCTTATTTCCAACCATGAAATATCTACATACTAGAGCTATTGAGTTGTGATCTATGTTAAAAACCATGTCTAGGGTACATGCTTATTCTGTTGGGACCCCCTGAGATCATTTCTGCTGTTGGGTTTTACAAACCTACTCATATTTTGGTGATTTCGGTATAAGAATTGGGTTTTCACTGATATACTTGAAAAGCATGCCTATTTTTCCGGAACTGTGAACGAGTTGAGCATCTTATATCTGAGTAGGTTTCTTGTACCATTATTATTATTTTGTTATGAACTGTTGTTGGCTATTGGTGTTGGACTCCGACCTTAGTCCCTTCTCGTCACTACTTTCAACCTAAGGTTATGTTTGTTAATTATTGAGTACATGGTGTCGGTTGCACTCATACTACACTTCTGCACGCTGCGTCCAGATTTGGATGTTGACGTTGCTGTGTATGACGGTAGCTAGCATTGAAGGCGTACCTGCGTTCTGGTTATAACTGCCTCATGTTCATGGTAGCTCTAGACTTATGAAAAATCTGTTTATGTATAATTCGGACAGATGATGTATTTCATTTTACACTATTTTTGTAAACTCTAATCTTAGAAGCTCACGATTTGTACTACTAGTCCTTGGGAAATTCTTGTATAAAAGCAATTGTATTATCACTTCTTTTCTTGATAAATCTCATTAATTTGGATAATTGTTAATTGGCTTACCTAGCGGATTGTGTTAGGTGCCATCACGACTAGTATGATTTGGGTTGTGACATTATAGTTATTGTATTATTTATTATTTAATATTTTTATACTATCATATTATTTTTTATTAGTGTAATAACTGAATTAATGTCTTTCTTATTATCCTTTTAATAGTATTTAATAAATATAAATATTTTATTCTTGAATTTTGGTATATTTTTATGCTTGTATCCTCTTATTAGAAATTTTTTAATAATTTAAGTTTATCAGTAATATTTTTAAATATAATTTATTTAAGTTTTTTAAATTTAAAATATAAGTATCCTCACACTACCTCTATTTACTTGTACATTCTCTTCCATACTACAAATTTTACTTAGTTTTTGTATTAATGTTTTTCCTATTACCAAGATAATATCATATTTTATTTTAAATTGTAATTTTGAATTAGTCTAAAATATTAATACACAAGTTATTTGATTATTATATTCCAAATGTGTTGAGCTCACCTATAATTATTTTTATATTAGATGCATTTAAATTTTATTTCTTTTTTAGCTTTAAGATACAAATTTTATTCTTAATTTTTATTAGTAAAATTACCTATATTAGAAATTTATTTTTTTAAAAATTTTATTTAAAAAATAAAAAAATATTTTTTTAATTGTTTGAACACATTAGATCTAAATATTGTAGTAATATTTTTATTGTAATTTTATTTCTTTACGTAATATTTTCAAAAATAAAAAAATCTCTATCTCAAATTCAAATAATTCTTATTATTCAAATAAATTGAAAATGAAAGATATATATGAAGCCAAACAAAAATTAAGAGTGCAATAAAATGAGACTACCAGCTCCATTAACATTTCTTAAATTGGAAGAAGTTGCTCGGAAACCTCAATAACGAATCTCGTCGGGATTGTTGACTTTTTCCTCTTTTTCCCCCTCCTTTAACTACAACGATACTCTAGTAAGTTGAAATCTTAAACAACAGCCATGTCATAGGGATCTGTCATGGTTGACTTTGACTTCATAATTTTACCTGAAGGGGAAACTAAGGAAAAAGAGAGATAATTTTATTCATGGTTATTGAACTTTTGTATTTGTTACCCAAAAGTTACTTTTCTTTTTTTGGTTACGTAAAAATCATTCAACTTTGTGTTCATTACACAAAAGTCATTTTTCTTTCTTTTGGTATACAAAAATCATTTTACTTTGCTCTAGTTATCACAAAAGTCACATTTTTACTTGAAAGTCTATTATGCCCTTGATATTATATAAACCTTCATATTTATGTAATACCTTCTATATTATATACTGTTTAATATATTTTTCACTATGTATTATATTTATAAATAAAATAACTTAATATTATTTTATTTATTATTTTTATAATATATTCGTTTATTTTATTTTTCTTAACATTAATTGTCAAAATATATTAATATTATTTTATTTATAAATATAATACATAGTTAAAAATATATTATATAGTATATAATATAGAAGGTATTACATAAATATGAAGGTTATATAATATCAAGGGCATAATAGACTTTTCAAGTAAAATTGTGATTTTTGTGATAACTAAAGCAAAGTAAAATGATTTTTGTGTAACAAAAGAAAGAAAAGTGACTTTTGTTTAATGAATGATGATAGGCTATAATTGCATATTTTAGTCGCTTATTACACTCGAATTTACTGCACTTTAATTGAGTTTGCGCTTTAATCGCTAGTGTTTTGCACTAATTGTGTGTTTTATGCCTTGTAGGTGTGATTCCGAGCTATATAGATGTTATGGAATGAATTTAAGTGATTTGAAGCTTTGAAGTCTGAGTAAAAGCTCAAGGAATTAAGCCGGTATCGTGTTCGGGGGTCAAATTTGATAATTAAGTACGAACGAAGACTTGAGGAGGCATATTGCGCACTGTCTAGTAAAATAGACATAACTTTTTGCTCAGAACTCTATTTGGGCTCCACAATATATGGTTGGAAAGCTAGGGCTACAACTTTCATGTTTTAAGTTTTTCCAAGTTCCAAACGGAACAGGGTGAAAAAAGCGGTCGAAACCGCGACCGCGGAACTGACCGCGGCAGAAATCAGAGAGCTTGTCTGGCCGCTGTCCTACAGCGTTTTGACCGCGGCCGCGCCCTTCCAGGCGTCAAAAAGAAGTCCTATTTCGTCCAGGACAAGTTTGTTTCAGCACTACACTATTCCAACTTGTATAAAAGGGGTCCTAAACCTATTTTGAAGAACAGGGGGACATATTTTGGACATAGATTCGACCTAAGGAGGCAAGAACACATTGGGAGCAAGGCGGAGAATTTTTCTACTAGTTTTTTCCTTCCTCTTCCCATATTTCATTGTTGGTTATGACTTTTAGTATTGTAGTTTTACATACTATTATGAATAGCTAATTTGTTATCTAGAGTTTTGATAGAACCTTTTGTAGGATAAATTCTTGTTATGTTTTTATATAATTGAGCCATAGCTTTTCTCTATTTGTTCAACTACGTTTATATTCTGGTTGATTGAAGAGCTCTCAATTAGCTGTGCCTATTTAGTATGCATAACTCGGGAGAGAGTGCATATTTAGGTAGTTGTTGAACAACACCACTCCCAGAGTATATGAGGGATCAATAACCGAGGGTTTAAAGGTGGGATTAGGGATAACGAAGCCTTGGGTGCGATCTGAAGTGAGCTGTATTAAAAGCCAGCTAGCTAAGGTCGGGAGAGTGCGTCTAGTAAATTGTCGTAATTACACGGGAGAGATTTATGGCAATAAGATTGCTCATGATCGGTAGAGAATACTTAGGCGAATTATAGAAGACATAGCGGGAAGGATTCCGACAATTGGGGAAATCATAACTCTAGACCTCCTTAATCTTTTCTCTAACCCTCAATATCTTTAGTTGTTAATTTACTATTTTAATTTGTTAGTTAATTAGTTAAACATAAGAATCATAATATCTATAAGTTAGGAATTGTTCAAGCTTGTCTTCTTGGTGATAGTGAACAGCTGTAGCTAAACCTTAGTTCTCTGTGGGATTCGACTCCGGACTTGTAAACCGGATTATATTTGCAGCGACCGCATTGTCCTTTTTATAAGGCATAGTTGGGCGTGATTAATGAACACAAAGTTGAATGATTTTTACATAACAAAAAAAAGAAAAGTGACTTTTGAGTAACAAATACAAAAGTTCAATGACCATGGATAAAATTAACTCAGGAAAAAGAAAAAACGTATAAGGTTCTGAATAATCCCAAGTGATTTCATTTAACGATTAAGAATAATTGTCAAAGTTACCATCAGCATAAAAAAGAATTGAGTTTAATTTCTATACACTGTTATTATGTAATTATTTTACAGCGTTAAGTTAATATAAAATCTATAATAACATATAATTGTGTATACATTTAAAATATAAGAGACGAATTTTTTGCTAATACGTTGCTAATTCATATACGCTAGACAACCGGTCGCTAAATGGACTTTTGATAACTAGTTATTAAATGTAATTAGCAACTAATTTTTGCTTTTAGCGTGAAATTTATCCGCTGTTAATACTTTTTTTGTAATGATAATTAACTACATCTAGTAGCCTAATAGTAGTAAAATAAATTACTTGTTATAGAAGTAACATGTTAGTACTCCCTCCATTTCAACATATTAGATGAGGTACTTTCATTTAGTCTGTTCGAAAATAAATGACACATTTTTAAATTTGGAAATAATTCAACTTTAAACTCTTCATTTTATCCATTTTAACTTTAATGAAAAGATTTTATACCCACAAAGCTTTTACCATTAAGCTTTTAAGACAAAAAGTTTCAAAAGTTTTTTTTTTTTAAACTCCGTACCGAGTCAAACTAACTCATCTAAATTGAAACGGAGGGAGTAATACATATGATAGTGTAATTTTTTCTAAAACTTCAGTGCATGTAAGTTAAATTCAAATAGAATATGCACTATGAACTTCGTCGTAAAGCACTTATATAAATTAAATAGATAAAGAAAACCTGAATGGTAACTTGACTTTATATATAGCTATGTTTTTAAATAGAAAGTCAATACAAGGAGTTAAATATAAAGAGGCAATTGTCCTCTTCGTTTTTCAATTGAAACGAGGATAGAATGCGAAAGTATACGTTATAGTCTTCATAGTCTTCGCTTCTATGGCTTGCAATTTATGCTGCTGCTTGTGCGCCGGCCGAGGTAGGATTAAGAAGCCAAAAGGATCCGACGTAGAAATAGGTACAAAGAAGAAGAGCGCCACCAGCTACGGCGGCACAAAAGACGGGAATATGATTGTTTTGGCCGGGGCTGGTGCTGCAGTAGCTGCCACTGCCGCGGCTGCAGCTGTGGCAAGTAGCAGTAAAGATAAACGGAAGGGTAATAGCAATATTAGTGGTGGTTGTGGAGCGGCAGTTGGAGGTGGTGGTACGGATAATTTTAGTGCGAACCAAGGTTGTTGTTGTGGTGGCGGTGGTGTCAACGGCGGTGGTTGTGGCGGCGGTTGTGGCGGTGGTTGTGGTGGATGTGGAGGTTAGTGTTGATTTGGACACTACCGGCTACGTTGGCTTTTTCCTCGACTTGTTGTTTTAAATTTAAATATTTGTATGTTGTTTCGAAGTGGGAATGGACTTCCGAAAGGTGTGTGAATGAAATTATGAATGATTGCATTTAAAAAAAAAAATGATTGCATGTACGATAGAATGAGTTCATAGCGATGCGGAAAAAGTTCAAATTTATTCATGAACTTTGTGAAATTAATATATTCATGTCCTCGCTTAAGGAATTTGCTTTAGAAAGGATCATGATGTTGCCTAAAAGTATCATTTATGTTATTTATTACTAACAGCCAAATTTTATTTATGCTGATTAGTTTAAATTTCCACGTAAGTGTGACACGTGACAAACATTTACGAGAAAAAAATCAATTTTGCCCGTGAACTTTGCTAAAATTAGTAATCCACGCCCCCCTTAGTTTATTTTTGATCTTTATCTAATCTAAGAACGAAACCACCAATATCAGCTGGTAACCTAAAAGAGCTTACACCACCCAATCCCATGCGTTGAACTTTAATTCTACACGTTTTACAAACGGATGTTGCAAGTTCGACATGCTACCTTTTTCGTTCTCCTTGATCTCTCAAAACTAAGTCTTGAAAATGTCATATCATAAGCTCCAATAGGAAAGACAAGTATCCAACTTGTAGTAGTAAAAAAAGGTTACTCAGATATTCTAGATAGCATTGAATCTCAGTTTATGTGTATCTTTAATTATGACAGGTTAATAAGTAATATTAGAAGTTATTTAACATGTCTAAAACCTATTTCCAATTAGTAAGTTACACTCTCGAAAACTTCATTCTATGTTAATTTAGGTCTACCTCGTCCCTTTTGTAACACCTATTCACCCTAGTTTCACACCTAAGCATCGATAAACCATCTTAAACGACTTTTTCTCATTTTATTCTTAATGCATGCTACTTGCACCTTGTGGGAAATGTAATCATTGTTAATCTTAATCTAATCTTGTGTGATCGCACATCCATCTTAGCACCCTGCATCTTTACAACACTCATCTGGTGGACATAACTTTAACGGCCTAAACTTCACTACTATAACACTATCGGTCTTATAAATAATCTTCTATCACATAACATCCCGGCAACACTTCTCCAATTCAAATATCATTATGTATATATCATTCCTTTCTCTTGAAACAACGAGCCTAGATATCTAAATTACTTGCACTTTGGTATCATAATCCCCTCTATTCTCTCCTAAACTTCGCTCTTCTCAAACTGATTAAATTGCAATGTATATATTCAGTCCTACTTCTACTTCTCCTAAAATCCTTACTCTTTAAGGTGCTTCTCCATAGTTCAAGCTTGTAACCACCCGGCCGGTCATTTTTGGAAATTTCGCCCGATCCCCCATTAACTGTTTCCCCTAAGTTCATTTCTGCTATTTTGGTTTGCCGGGACGTTTGGTGTTGAGTTTTGGAGAGTTTTGGGACACTTAGTCCCTAAATGAGAGCTTAAGAGTTGAAAAATGGTCCGTAATCAGAACAGTGTGAAGACGACCTCGGAATGGAAATCCGATGGTTCCGTTAGCTCCGTTAGGTAATTTCGGGGTTGGGAGCATGTTCGGAATATATTTTGGAGGCTCGTAGCTCATTTAGGCTTGAAATGCCGAAGTTTGAATTTTTGAAGTTTCCGGTCCGATAGTGAGTTTTTGATCCGAGGGTCGGATTGGAATTCCGGAAGTTGCAGTAGTTCCGTCATGTCATTTGGGATGTGTGTGCAAAATTTCAGGTCATTCGGACGAGGTTCGGGTAGGTTTTTGATCGAAAGCGTGTTTGGTTGGAATTTGAAGTTCTTAGGCGTGGATCTTTGATTAATTCGGGTTTCCGGCATTGTTTAGGTGTTTTCAGGATTGGTACAAGTTTGAATAAGGTATTAGGTGGTATTGGTACTTTTAGTTGAGGTCCCGGGGGCCTCGGGATGATTTCGGGTGGTTAACGGAAGAGTTTTGGAAGTTGAGAAATAGCAGCATTGCTGCTTCTGGTATCTTTCCGCTTCTGCGGCTTGGGAACCGCAGAAGCGGAGCCGCAGAAGCAGCCTTGGTCGTCGCAGAAGCGAGATTAGCCCTCCCTTTCAGGAACCGCAGAAGCGGTCGCCATTCCGCAGAAGCGGAACCGCAGGAGCGTTAAGTGTCGGCAGAAGCGGACTCTGGTCCATTAAGTGAAAACCGCAGAAGCGGTTGTTTTTCCGCATATGCGGGACCGCAGAAGCGGTCCCTTGTCCACAGAAGCGAAAATCCCTGGGCAGAAATAGAAATTTCAAGGGTTTGAGTTCATAAGTTACAAAAATCAATTGAGAGCTCTAGGTTCATAGGAGTCACGGAACACAGGCCAGTTTATTAGGGTCTCGCTGATCGGTACAGAGACGTCTGTACTTATCTACGAGGGGCTATGTAACTGTTAGGAAAAATCTTCATTTCATTTGAATTCCTCGTCGGCGATATTTTGGACATCAATTCTAAACTTCTGACTTCTATTCTCTCACAGATGGTGAGAACACGTGCTACTCGAGATGATCAGGCACCCGCGCCCCCTACTGCAGCCGTCAGATGCCGAGGCCGGGGGAGAGGTCGAGGACGCGCACGTGGTGCAGCCAGAGCACCTGCGCGAGCTGCCGCCGAGGTACCACTAACAGATCCAGCCGGAGCCCAGGCACCTGGCACACCTACTACTGCCACTACTACTCCAGCGCTCCAGGAGACTTTGGCTCAGTTCATGAGCATGTACACCACCTTGGCTCAGGCGGGGTTGCTTCCCCTTGCTGCAGCCACATCCCAGGCCGGGAGGAGCACAGACTCCCGCCGTCCGCACTCCTGAGCAGCGAGTGCAGGTTGAGCAGGTTCCCGAGATTATTCCGGCACCGCCTGCAGCACCAATTCAGCCCGAGGATGGGTCAGCTGCTTCAGAGGACGAGCAGCGCAGGCTTGAGAGGTTCAAGAAGTATGATCCCCCAGTGTTCAGTGGATTAGCATCAGACGATGCCTTGGGATTTCTAGAGGAGTGTTATTGTATTCTCCGCATTATGGGCATCGTGGAGTCCAGCGGGGTTTCTTTCACTCCTTTTCAGCTACGGGGAGCCGCCTATGATTGTCGGCAGACTTATGAGATAGACAGTCCAGTCGAGGCTGCTACACTGACCTGGACCCAGTTCTCGGATATGTTCATGAGAGAGTTTGTCCCCCAGAGTCTCAGGGATGCATGGCGCACAGAGTTTGAGCATTTGCGCCAGGGTGCTATGACCGTTTCAGAGTATGCTATCCGTTATATCAGGTTGGCCAGGCATGCACCGGCTTTGGCTGCTACAGTTCGGGAGAGAGTTCGCAGGTTCATTGAGGGTCTTATTCCACCCATCAGATCTAGCATGGCTCGAGAGTTGGAGATGGACATTCCTTATCAGCAGGTAGTGAGCATTGCTAGGAGGATTGAGGGTATGCACGCTAGGGAGCGAGGAGAGAGGGAGGCCAAGAGGTCTCGAGAGTCGGGTCACTACTCTGTTGCCCGTACCTCATCAGCCGGATGTTATGGTAGGGGTTATGCGGGTCGCCCTGTTCATTCAGCCTTGCCAGCAGCCGGCAGTACTCCAGCTCCGCCTGCACCTCAGGAGCCTTATTATGCGCCTCCAGTTTCTAGCGCGCCTCCTGCGCGGGGTACCTCCAGAGGTCAGTCCAGCGGACCTAGTCTCCAGTCAGTCACAGCCACCACGTCCTCCCAGAGCTTGCTTCGAGTGTGGCGATACACGTCACTTGGTTAGGGACTGCCCCAGACTTGGTAGGGGTGCATCTTCACAGACTGCTCAGCCACAGCGTGCTCCTCAGAGTTCTCAGGCCATGATCACAGCTCCAGCGGCTACCCCACCTGCTCGGCCGGCTAGGGGCGGAGGTCGGGGAGATAGAGGTCGCCCTCGAGAGAGGGGCCGGGGCAGATATTATGCTATTCCTGCTCGTACTGAGGCTGTTGCCTCTGACTCCGTCATTACAGGTATTATTCTAGTTTGTCACAGAGAGGCATCGGTTCTATTCGATTCGGGCTCTACTTACTCTTATGTGTCTTCTTACTTTGCTCCGCATTTGGGTGTGCCTCGGGATTCTTTGAGTGCCCCCGTTTATGTTTCAACTCCTGTGGGAGATTCTCTTGTTGTGGACCACGTTTATCGGTCATGTTTGGTTACTATTCGTGGTTTTGAGACCAGAGCCGACTTATTATTACTCGGTATGGTGGATTTTGACATTATTTTAGGCATGGACTGGTTGTCACCCCATTTTGCTATTCTTGATTGTCACGCTAAGATCGTGATGCTGGCCATGCCAGGTATTCCGCGTGTTGAGTGGAGTGGTACCTTAGATCATACTCCCAGTAGAGTTATCTCTTTTCTTAAAGCTCAGCGCATGGTTGAGAAGGGGTGTGCCGCGTATTTGGCTTATGTGAGAGATGTTAGTGTTGATACCCCTTCTGTTGATTCTGTTCCAGTGGTACGGGATTATCCCGATGTATTTCCAGCTGATCTTCCGGGCATGCCGCCTGATAGAGACATTGATTTCGGCATTGATCTGTTGCCGGGAACTCAGCCCATTTCCATTCCTCCGTATCGTATGGCTCCTCCTGAGTTGAAGGAGTTGAAGGATCAGTTACAGGAATTGCTTGGTAAGGGTTTCATTCGACCCAGTGTTTCACCGTGGGGTGCTCCTGATTTGTTCGTGAAGAAGAAGGATGGCTCCATGCGCATGTGTATTGATTACCGCCAGCTGAACAAGGTTACAGTGAAGAACCGTTATCCTTTGCCTCGCATTGACGATCTGTTTGACCAGCTTCAGGGCGCACAGGTGTTTTCTAAGATTGACTTGCGCTCAGGGTACCATCAGTTGAAGATTCGAGAGCCAGATATCCCGAAGACTGCCTTCAGGACTCGATATGGCCATTACCAGTTCCTTGTCATGTCATTTGGGCTGACCAATGCCCCTGCAGCTTTCATGCATTTGGTGCACAGTGTGTTCAGGCCATATCTTGACTCGTTCGTGATTGTTTTTATTGATGATATCCTGGTGTATTCCCGGAGTCGGGAAGATCATGAGCAGCATCTGAGGACCGTGCTACAGACCTTGAGGGAGAAAAAGTTATATG